GGCAAGTAATTCACACAAGTTCCTGCATTTCTGTAGTTCAGTGATTATGTTTACGCTGAATTTTGGAGAAGTGTGCGCATCTATTGTATAACATAGGAAGTCATAAAAATGGGGTTTTGTGCATTTAGAAGGCATTAGATCAAATTAAGCACTTGATATATCAAGTATCGGTCTACAAATTCTAAAAATAAAAGCAGCTAGGAGTGCTGCATTGCAGTGATTTGGATTTGGTGTATGGTCGTTTTAGCAGGATGGCAGTAATTCATGTCGTGATTGCCCCTTGTAAAATACAAAGAAGGATGGTAGCATAATCTCTATGGAGAAGTTGAGCTTACGAAGGTATTCCTGGAGTTGACTTGATTTTCCATCAAGATATGGACGAAGTAGGAGGGCTGACAATTTACAGGCAAACTTTTTGACCCAAAACTGAGGTTTTCATCTCTTCTGAGCTATACGGGTCGTAGTAATAAAGCTGAACTCTAATCTTCTGATTTGAACGACGGCTCAGTCTGAGGGTCAGGGGTAGGTCAGTGTCAAGAGCTGTCTAGCAGCTGCTGAATCAGTAGGGTAGCTTGATAAACTGGTATGGCTGGATCCTTAATTTTATTAGATGCCTTACTCCTAGAGGCTTTGACAGCACAGAATGAGCGATCCATGAGATTTCCCCCCACACAGTTTGTTTCTGGTCTGTCCTCTCCCCCCAGTGTGCCTTTGACACTTCTGTATTTATAAAAAGATGGTTTAGAGTTTGGAGTATTTGCCTAAAATAGGCTTAAAGTTAACAGTATGGTACTTAACGATGAAAACATGTTAATGAAGCATGGCTGTTTCACTATTTAAGGGTATTTTTTTGTTTCTCTCTCTCTCTCTTTCTCTTGTAGTTTGAGGGTGGCTCTGGATATGGTAAGTTTTTTCTATGGAATTTTTACATGCACTTTGTTACTTAGTCATTAAAGGGCTTGATGCATACGTTTAAATCAGACTATTCTTATGCAGGGGGGCGTGGTTCATACGGAGATCTTGGTGGACCCATCATCACAACACAAGTAACGATTCCCAAAGATGTAAGTAAAGTTGATTTGCCTGCTGGTTTTGAGATTTTTTTTTTTTAATCAGCCTTTTCTCAGACTACATGAGTAAATCATAAGTATTTGGGTTGTTTGACAGTTACTTTTAATATAAAACAAGTATTTCTAAATCACCAAAAGTCTGTTCTTCAGGCTGTTTATTTTGTGACTTTAGTGACACACTGAACCGTTGCATTAATTGTTAATATTGAATAATAGAGATGGTCGATGTAGCTTGTTTTATGCAAACCAGCAGCTGGTTCTTCCAACTTTATACCGCCTGTGTTTATACAATTAAGTATTGCAGAGGCTGTTTTGAGTAAGCTTCCATTGAGATTCTTAAAAATAAATTCATGGAAGCTTCTTGAACACTACTGTGATGTCTGTAACTGCTTTTACAGAGAAAGTTGTATCAAAAAATGGGTGCTTTGTTTTCTCCCCTAGTTGGCTGGATCTATTATTGGAAAGGGAGGCCAGAGAATCAAACAGATACGTCATGAGTCAGGAGCTTCGATCAAAATTGATGAACCATTAGAAGGCTCAGAAGATCGGATAATAACTATTACGGGAACGCAGGACCAGATACAGAATGCACAGTATTTACTGCAGAACAGGCAAGTTGAAGCTTATTGCACGAATGTTAAACTGACTTTCTTCCCTACTACATTCTAAAGCTCGTATTCTCTATGATGTAGTTTCTAGAAGGCAGGTTTTTAAGTAACTATTTGAACCTAACTTCTCCAGTTGGTAGTTCTGCCTTGATTCTCTTCTATTCTTCCATTCTAACTAAAATGAAGACGCCCTCAAAAACTAATCTTGCCGGAAGACGCCTTAACCGAGCAGTCCTCTCATTTCTCTGGTGAAAACTGCTGCAAAAAACTACTTGTAATAAATTACATAGAGCCTGTAGAAAATGTAGAAGATTTCAGTGGACGTTGGTCTAGTTCTGTGTGGAAGACTAGTGATTTTGTTGTTTTTAGATAACTAAATTGACAACAAATCACAGTCTGCCATATGGCACAGGCCATGCCTCTACAGGACAAGTTGAAATCGATTGGTGCTGTAAATGCAGCATTTCCCACCTTGCTGGCATTACTTTTGTCTTTTCTGCCAAATATTAACAGCTTCAGATTTATTTTGCTTTATTAACATGTTGGCTATCATAGCAGTTTTTAATGTTTAACTTGAATGTTTGGCTTTAGACTACTAATATTTAAACGTGCTTAAAATCATTATATACCTATAATTATTAGCCATTATATTTTAAAATAATTTACTTTTAAATGTTTTAGGAGTTTGTAATTTAATGTGTAAGAATGTCATTGTGAATGTTGATGCAAGATGTATGGTCAATCATTCTAATACATGCTTTTTTCTTTTTCTTTTATAGTGTGAAGCAGTATGCAGATGTTGAAGGATTCTAATGCAAGATTATTTTTTCTTTTTTATAGTGTGAAGCAGTATTCTGGAAAGTTTTTCTAAGACTAGTGAAGAACTGAAGGAGTCCTGCACCCTTTTTTTTTTATCTGCTTCTGTTTAAAAAGCCAACATTCCTCTGCTTCATAGGTGTTCTGCATTTGAGGTGTAGTGGAATCTTTGCTGTCCACCAGATGTAATGTTTTAGTTCCTTACAAATATTTGGGGGGAGGGAAAGGGCGCGCGAGACTAACATTGACATTTTGAAACAGCAGCAGAGAGAGTGGATTTTATTTTTGTTCATTGTTGGTGGTAAATTGTAATGTTTTCTGTAACTATTGTGAACATCCTGCTTTATGTACACTGTATTTTTTTTGAAGGGGGGAGAATACTGGTAGTCCCCGTGTCCCTGGCATCCTTTGAGAGCAGTGTGCAGAATGTAATGCTCTTTTGTAAGAAACGTTTTATGATTTTTAAATAAATTTAGTGAACCTATTCTTGGTGGTCATTATTTTTAGATATGCATAAGGTAGTATCTAAAATGGATACACCATTTTCCCCCAGCCCTACAAGAAGATGCATAAATGAAAGTTGCTGTTAAGCTTGCTCTTCTGCTTCCTTGATAAAGATGGAGTTAAGTGTTCTTGGCAAATTAAAGAAACAGTGTGAAAACAATGGCTAAGCTTTGCTATTTGGGAAAAAAATGCAAAAACATTCTTGCAGACGTTGTGTAAAATTTGACTTTTTTGCAAGTGTTTGGCCCTTTTTGCAGTACATATATATATTGGTGACAGTATATAAATAAAGTATTTAAAAACTTTGTGATGTCACTGAGTTACAGTGGTAAAGTACACTTAATTCTAGACAGCTTGCTTAATGCAAATAACAGTTACAAATGGCAGTTGGCGTACCATTAACAATTGAATTCTAGTTTTCAGAGCTTTCATTTGTATAAGGTAGAAATTTTTATCAATTGGCAAATTGACAGTATCTAACTCTGTAACTTGTTTTTCATTGTATACAGACTTAAACTTGTTTGGTTTCCCTGTTGTGTGTTGAATTCCATAGGAAATATTTGTGAGAAATTAAAAAAGATAATACCTCTGGATGTCTCATGTAATACCTTGGCATTTGTATTTATAGTTTATAAGTTTTAATTTCACTTCCTGAATAAAAACAATTAAAAATGCAAAAGAACTTGGCACATCTGGATGTGATGGATCCAGAGTAAGAGTGGATTCTTTTACTGTTTTTTATTTGTTCCAGAGCATTTTACTCTTCTCAGTTCTTTCAGCCCTATCAGGTAATTGCTGTCATAATATGCAGCTGTAATTACAATGCAATGGGAAAGGGCAAGGAGATGAGAAACTATTTTAAATAGAAGAAAAGAGAAGAAACAACCGCTTTTGTCTAGGGGAATGAGCATGCCAGTAACTCTACGTCTAGAATTAGCCTTTTAAGAACATAAGTTATATGGAGAAACAGCGTAGAAAAAGTTGTCAGACAAAAGGCAAGTTAATTAAGAGAAAGCAAGGACACAGGATTTTTGTGTGCCCTTAAACCCTGCGTATATATGCAGGTGCGTTGGGGTTAAGGAAAAGTGGCTGCGTCGACATGCTGAAGGAACTAACGATTTTTTTTTTTCTTCCTTTCTACGGTGCACCGCAGGAAGCTACCGCCGGTCAGTGGGAGCTGAGCCCTCCTTGGCGCAGCCGCGCACGGGCGGGAGG